ATTTTAATTTTTCTATTTTTATTTGCTTTTTTTTTGACGAGAAAATCAATTTCAAATCAGTTCTATGAAATGATAGACTTTAATATCGTCTACAATTAAAGATATGATATGAGTTAAACCAATTTATTTATTTTTTAAGCACTAAGAATTTCTCCATGACAACGACTTGTAGTAAATGCTTTCATTTCAATTTTGTATCGTATTATTAATCTGATTAATTATTATGATTCTTATTTCATTTTGTCGAATTGAACCAAGATATTTGTCATGAATGTTTGAAAGTGCAGAACACAAATTTTCAATATTATGAACTGATTTTTTAGTTAGAAGGATCTAGGCTTTTTTTAAGCTAAATAAAAAGTAGATTGAAACGTTAAAAATTGCTTGAAATTATTTCTCGATTTTTGCTGTAATTTTTTTCGGGGAAATTTTTAATGTTCTTAAAAAAAGATCGAGAGCGTGTCAAGTCCAAAGTTTAGGTTTTTCAAGATTCTCCAATTTTTAAACTGTTTGCTTATATTTCAAATGTATCGTACATAAATTACAGTTATATGTTTAATTTTCTATTTAATCAGCTTTGATTCAATGTCTCTTATGTATCATTCGATAGAACTTTTCAAAAATCTTAAAAAAAAGGGTTACTCTACAAAATGCTAAATCTATTATTTCTAAGATTCAATTTGTGATTTTTTTTAATAATTGATATTCGACAATTTTCAGGCTGAACAATCTTTATTTGACTTGAAACAAATATTATATTTTGAATTAGCATAAAAAATTGAGTCAACATTTTTCATGTATCAGTTTTTCTCTATAACCCTGTTTTTCGATGAAATTTTCATTTGTTGGTCTCCTTTGAAGATATATCAAAAAAGAGTTGAATTAGACAATACAATAGATGTTTTAATCAAATTCTTTTTTACATAACCCTGAGATGGACTAGGAGCGAAGATTTCATCGAAAGACAAGGTTGTAGAGAAAAATTAGAATGTAAATAAGTTGATTTAAAGTTTTGTGCTAATTCGAAACATGATATTTGTTTAAGTATTTTATTGAGTGATCCATTTTTTAAGATTCTTCTGAATGGAAAATTAAGGATATTATTATAATTTATATACTATACATTTGAAATATAAAGTTACATTCTCAGAAATGAAGGATCTTAACAAACATGAAATAGCATTTTAAAAGCATGGTTTTAACAGAGATATCAGAGCCCGAATCGAACCGACTTTTACGGGTTCGAGTTCGGTTCGGTTCGACTAATTTTTTAACAAATTGGTTCGGGTTCGGTTCGGCTCGAATATGTCTTTAAAAAGTGGGTTCGAGTTCGGTTCGGTTCGACTATGTTTAAAAAAAATCGGTTCGAGTTCGGTTCGGTTCGGCTAAATTTTAAAAAAACCGGTTCGAGATCGGTTCGGTTCGAGTCGAACCGAACCGAACCATTATAGTTCGGTTCGGTTCCTGATAGGCGTGCCATTTTCCTGTAAGTTTATTTTAAACTAAAACTGTTGCCAATATAAATTTAAATTAAATAAAAATTTTTCTGATACCAAAATTTTAATTTACAATAAATTTAAATTGTTATGTGAAATAAATTCAAAATTATTTTAGATTTAAATTTTTGAGAATTAATTTCTGGAAATAATAATTTTTTGTGAATTAAAATGCAACAGCCCAATCGTCAAAATACATGACTTCAAGAAAAATAGATCAGAAATAAAGAAAGAAACTGCTATTATACGTTAACATCCGATCATCACTATAGTAGATCCCGTAAGAAAACGGCCGTGCTCCGTTCCTATTATTTTCTAACGATAATAAAAAGCTTGTACAGATACCATTGCTAGTAGACCTGAGAGATAAAAGGTTTCTTTTGATTTCTATAGATAACTATACAAAGTGAAACTTAAATTAATTAAAATGTAGCTTAAAATACTTCAAATTTATTTAGATGTAATAAAATTATTTTGAGTTTATTGAATTTTTTTGAATTTTGTACAAATTCGATTTAAATTCAAAATAAAATGAAATCTTTTACAATTGATTTCTTGACTTGATAAATTTTTGTAAATATAAATTGATCGTCCAAAATCCCTGATGTCAAATGTTCGATTAAAGATCGTTTGATAATCCCATATAGCATCACAATCTTACAAAAAAGATTATAGCTCAGCTAATCATTTTTCTTATGTACTTGTCCATATTTATTCGCTTTTCAAAAATTAGTTAGGCGCAGTTCAGCTTAAGGTCGCTTTTTAAGAAGTGGTTCGAGTTCGGTTCGGTTCGATTCTGTTTTAAAAAGGGTGGTTCGGGTTCGGTTTGGTTCGACTACGTTTTTGAAAGAGCGGTTCGGGTTCGGTTCGGTTCGACTAAATTTTAAAAAAACCGGATCGAGATCGGTTCGGTTCGACTCGAACCGAACCGAACCGTCTTAGTTCGGTTCGAGTTCGGTTCGTTTTCGGGCTCTGAGAGATATGCAGTCTAAAGAAACGCATGTGAAAATAACTTTGAAATGTTCTGGGTTTCTATGTGTTTTCTAAGAAAATGGATATTCGCATTATTGACTGATGTTAATCATCACAACGACCAGGAATTCATAATTGTTCGTTTCATATGTGGTTGAACCTTGAAAATCAAAACAGAGTAAAATTTGCTTTCTCACATTTCCATTCTTTCGATAGAGAATATGATAAGAATCGTATGAAAATATTAATTCATCTACAAATTTTATTCAGATATGTATATGTTACATTGTAGACATCTGATGTATGATAAAATAAAAATAATTCATTTTGTTTCGTTGACAGACTATTTCAAAATAGTTAAGCCGTGTTTGTTTGTATTGTACACGTATTTGATTAATGGTAGCTCGTATAAATTGTGATGTTCAGATATGACTGATCTTTCGTTATTGTAGACGACAATCAATATCATAGTTTGCATAGAATAGAATTTTTATATATCCATTAGAGTTTCAAACGGATCGTTGAACTTGCTTGTCTGTTATGTTTCTAATCTAAATTTGTAATATAAAACTTCGATTTCTGTTAGCAAGACATGTACGATCGAATCTCTTTTCCAGCGGAAGATGACAAATAATTTTTTTAATCATTTTGATTGAACACAGTTATGGCTAATTATAGGTTGAGAATACATTGCTCATTATTCATTGTTTTATCAAGTTTGTTTATCTGCTCTTCTAAATTATTGTCCATACGTTGTAATTAGTTTTTATTTTAAGTATTATTATTTTATATGAATTGTAAAAAAAATTTTATTCTACCGTAATACTCGCTTCTTATAGTCATATGATTTCGTTAAACATGATTTTCTTGCTTTATTGTAAAAATAGTTTTTCGCTTCAATTCTATTATTAGTATGTAAAAAAAACACATGCAACATGACAAGTAAATCACACTGATGAAAACGTATGACAGACTTATAGTATTTGATCTTCTAAAATTCCATCGCAATTTAAGTATAACGGTAATCTATGCTCATTATGTGGGCTCAACAGATTTCATGAAAGATAATTTCAATCTAGATTTTGTAATCAATATTGAAATTGTGATCCAAAAATGTCGGCCATTACCTATAAATTAATGTTATCTATTATGAACATAAATATAGATAGTTGATTGAAAAGTTATAGTTACTGTATTGATTATAATTAAACATGTTACCTTTTTTTGCAAAAAATAAAATATACTTGTAACTTCTGAAGCAAAATATTGTTTTCTAGATTTTTATATGGTTCGATAAGCTCTACAAGAATATGAACATTGTAAAAAAAACTTCTGATTCTGTTTCCAATTCGAAATTTGGAGGAAACTGAAGAGACTAATAAAAATTTCATGTATCCAGCAATAGAGAAAGTAAACTAAACTTCTAATATCTTTAACTGATATACTGTTCATGTGGCTCACTCAGGAATTACAAGAATATTTTTTTGTTTCTGTCGAAAAACATAAAATGTAAAATGTTTAGTCATGTTTAACAAAAGGAACCGTAAATTTTCATGATTCCAATTAGAGACTATCAGGTTGGTTTCGAGCTTGGATCCGAAAAATTTGGACTTAAACAGCTCTACCTTACACATTTCTCAGACGAGTCGTCTGAAAAATGAGTAACCTGTACTGGTTGACGAAGAAAAATGGAAAACAAGCATCTCGTATCTTTGGTTCGGTTACCTTATTCCGATTAGGAAATTTCATCACAAATATCAAAGTACGATTCGACGAGGTATGGGTTCAACAACATTCAATAAATCGGGCTCAAGTCCGAAAATTTTGGATCCGACAAGCTCTAATCTTTTTCTACAAAACTATGCATATCAGCCAACTATGTATATATGTGTTTGTATAAATAACCTCAATGTACAGAGATAGCTCGAAACATTTGGATCACCCTTTATTAAGACTTCGCCGATTTACTTCGTATGGCAGCTTATTATTACTTCAGTCGATTGATAAAAATAATCATCAGATATATATTTATCACAAAACAAGAAATGTTTGATTCAATGCTATAGATCACTCTACTATGAAAAATCATTTCATTTTATAAATATATACAGTGTAATATATGCATATATTTTCAAGATCAATTTGAAATATTTTTATTTATTCATTCGTGTATAGGATACATTGAAGTATACCTTGAAAGTAAGTGCATTACTGAGTGTTCAATATACTTTTCGATATATATAATTATTATTTATTAAAAATTGCGAACATCTTATTAAAACCAAAATTTTCTTCTTATGTAATTTCTTTCTCAAGGTCATGGAAAAAAAAAGCTTTGAAAATCTGTCACGATTAATAAAATTAAAAAAACAAATATTGATTTAAAAATATTTTTCGTCTAGATGGTGCCACATATTGTCACGTTAATGAAACAAAGACTTAAAGTTCAAACCAATGAACAATTGATCATTTGAGTGATTGATTGATCATATAGTAAAGTTTAGCAAGGCAAAAAAGCGAAACGGTAAAGTCATGGATGTAGAAAATGATAATTCGATATATATAGATCCGGAAATAATAATAAAAGAATTAGTTATTTCATTACCAGTTTTAACTGAATCTGATGTCGAAATGATATTAAATAATGTCGATTATTTTGACGACGAATCATCCGTAGATGAAGACGAAAAAGAAAAACCTTGTTTAAAACGTGATCAACGACGTTTAAATTTATTAAATAATCCTGATTATGGTATTATTCTTGGTTTTATTGAAAAATTTCGTTCATATATAAAAATGAAAAATTATCCATTACGCATACTTGAAGATAATCTAATATGTGAAAAAGAAAAGCGTACGAATGAAATGATATTTTTTTTTTCTTTCAAAAAAAAAACCTTGTTCTTTGCTTGTTTTGTTTAGTTAGTGGACGTTTTATTGATTTTCATCTTGCTCTACTTAGAAAAGTTACATCAGGTAAATTGCTAAAAAGAGACCAATTTGTTCCAAGTATAGCAAAGGTAAAGATTTAAATGATATTTTTGTGTTGTTGAAATGATTTTTCTATATTTAGTTTGCTGATCGTTTTAATCATGATGATGGAGATTACTTAAATGAACATGGATATTCAAAATCAAATGTTGAAATTAAACTTCGAGTTTTAAAAGTAAACATAAATTCTTTTTTCTTTGTTTTCAAACAAAATTTTTTTTTTATTATAGAATTTATTAGAAAAACAATTTGATTGTGATCAGACATTGAAAACTTTTGTTGCTAATAATCCATCACATGAAATACGTTCAAAACCATTTGGTCGAGATCGATTTGGTGCATCGTATTGGTTATTTATGGTAAAAAGAAAATAAAGAATTTTAAGACATCAATTTTCGCTTTGTTTTTTTGAATATGTCGAATTGTACATTTTCATCATTTTATAAAACATGCAGAATATAGTAGACCTCGAGATGCGTGGGTTAGGTGCCACACAGTTTTTTGTCCGTCGGTCTCAACTCGCGTTTGGACAAAACGATTTCAGAACTTACTCGCATTGCATCTAAAAACTTCTTCAATGCTTTCTTATTTGTTGAATTGACGGCTGGGACCTTTTGAATCATCGTCCGTGAATTTTATTTTGAATGATATTATTTATAAGATAATTTGCGAAAAGCCATAGAATATTGAACTATAATCTTAAGTTACGATCGGAAGCTACTTGATTTGTAGAATTTAAAGATCCGTGTAATCTGAATTTATCGTGTTTGTTTATTTTTATTGCATATTTCCATCTGTTTTATAGATTATTAGTTCAAGTATAATCTAAACTAGAGATAAGTAGCACATGTGTTTCTCGTAAAATATGAATAAGAAAAGCTGAGTACATCCAACAGAGTTCCTTTTATTAATGCCTTAACTAATAATATGTTTATATATGTGAATGTATACAAAGAAGACTACATTTGAAGACATGAACACTAATACATAAATTGGTTTTCGTTAAAAATTTAATGTTAGGTGTTATGTAAAATGAAAAAGTGCATAGTTGTTTATACTGTACTTGCTTAGTTTTTGCTCATGAAGGAGTTGCTCGAACTTATAAATTGAGCCTTAATGTACTATGTAGATCCAAATAAACCGTGAATACTTTGAGAAAAGTTCGTGCCCTTAACTTATTGCTACGAAGATACTACACATTTATGGTGTTTTTTAAATCAATGCTGTGATCCAGAAAAACTGATTTTTTGGATTTCAACTTAACACTTTGCATAGAGATTAATCTTAATAAGAGTAGTTTATTGTCAAAGTTTCAAGTCTTTTGATTTGCTTCTATCCTGCAATACGAACGTCAGATCTGTCGATTTATATGAACACTGTAAAAAAAAACCATGCCATTACCATGGTTGTTTGTTAAGATAGGAACAGCAGCAAGATCTGAAACGTTCACAATAAACTGTTTGTGTTAAGGTTTATTTCTATGTAGAGTTTCAAGTCGCAATTCGAAAATCAATTTTTCTAAGCCACAGTACTTATTTCAACAATACTGTAAAAGTACAGTATCTTTACAACAATAAGCTAAAGGCACGAACTCTTTTTTTCGAATATTCATAGCTCATTTGGATCTACATAAATGTACATAGCCTCGACTCAAAATCGATTTATCAGTTGAAGGACTTTCCTCATCAGAGATTTTGTAAAGGTTTCTCACAGTGACCGATAATATAGTTCTTTTTGTTTTTAATAATGAAAATGAATGACTATTCACTTTTTTTTCTAATAGAAGAATCTGCCCAGAAAAAGTTCGTATGAGTAACAGGGTAATCTCTTCAGAATTTTGTGTTTGATAAAGATATATATTCATATTGAATTTGAGAATTAGAAAACTTTCTATTGATGACATAATTAATTCATTTTTTATTTTCTTACAGGATACGGAATGTTTTATGCGTGTATTTCGTGAAAATATTGATAATAAACATACATGGATAAATGTAGCAAAGTAATATTAAATTTATTTCTTATATATTTGTTCCTTTGTATATGTGATCTAGAAATCAAACTGAATTAGAAAATCTAATAAAACTTCTTATAACTGATCATATTATACGAAAAAAATTTCCTGGTAAAATTTTTTACTTCGTATTTAATGTTTTTTTTTTTTGATAATACTAAATTCATTTAGAATGGAAATTTTCTTATGAATCATTTAATTGTTTATCATCATCAAATGAATTTGAAGAACGTTATTCATTCAATTTATCAGATAATAAACCTAAAAATGAACTTTTAGACGAACTATGTTCTTCATTAGTATTACTTCATTCAGGTAAAAAAAATTTGAAATAGAATTTTCAAAGTAAAAAATAAAAAGTTTCTATTTCATTATATTTTCAAGATATTGTTAAAACAGATGATGTTGATTTTGATCCAGTTGTTAATCTTAATCGCGATTTACCATCGTCACCACCAATATTATCACCTTTTAAGATTGATGATGTTGAAAAAAAAGATGATATGGGTTTGTTAAGAAAAATTTTTAAAATTTTTCTTTTAAAATTTTATTTATATTTTTATTTCAAGATGTAACATCTGATAATGAATCAGGAAATTCTAGTGAAATTAATCCTAATCGTTTAAGTATTTCATCATCAATTAATGCAAGAGATGATACATATTCTGGTGATTATTCAGACGATTCAATTTATAATAATGTTAATTATAGTTATAAATATGAAGATATAGAAAATACAAGTAGTAGCTTTCATGACCAACATATAACATCAAAAAATGATAATGATAGTGTACAAGCTATTGTATTAAAACCATTATTAGAACAAGGAATAAAACGTAAACTTGTAGATTATGATGATAGTGAAAGCGATGCAGAAGATAATGAAAAACATGATGAAGTTAGTCAAGATTCTCATCAAATTCCAGATAAGAAAGACTCAACAAATAATGTTGAATTACCTATTGCATTACGTCGATCAAAACGTGGTCGTAGATCACGTTTGGCTGAACTTTCACCAGCTTCATCAAACGCAAGCAAATCTGCTTCACGAGTAAGAATATATTGCAATATCGAATGCATCAAAGATTTAATCATTTCTTTATTTTAATTGTTTAAAAAAGAAACTTTACTATTTCAAAAATAAATTTACAAGTAGTACTTTTAGAGCCGCTTATTCAGCTGAACAGATTCATTATATTGTCATAAATATAATCTCTAACTTTGTATAGCAATGCCTTAAAAGCAGTTTTTGAAACAATGATTATTTTTCTGACTAATCCTGGTTTCTATAGAAACTAGATTCTAAGTGAAAAAGCATAATTGAGATTTCGCTTATTTGTTTTTTTACAGATACAATTTTGAAACGTTTTTTTTTACAAAATTTACACCAACCAATTGTTTTTATAGTGGGTGAATATTTTGTACTAAGATTTTCACACTATAAATTATTTCGTATGTTGCAGTTATTGTATACTCTTATTAGATTTTGTATCAAATTTTTGTTAAGAATCATTGATTTTCGTAATAAATTCATCTGTAGTAGGCAGTTGATTAAGGTATACGCGTATTGCCATCAATTTCACGTATTTGTGTAACTCATGTGAAGTTCAATTTCACTTTGATTATTAGTATGGACAGTTTATGCTGATTGAAAAAAGATAGGCGATAAGTTCTAGAAATTCTTTAGGTTTTATATTTCGACTAATCTATACATTCTATTTCATATGATAAAAACAAATTCAAAACATAATTCACTAGCATTATGGAAGGGACATCTAATAAAAAAAAAAGAAATATTTTAATTGTTTGTAGTAGCCATTGCAATGATAGTACCAGTTAGTTCAGTCAATTATTTGAATGAAGTAGGAACACAATCCCTATTAGAAATGAAAATAGTATAGAAACTTTGAGAAATAATTTGGTGTCTCATTCATCATATTTGAAAGACTATAAAGAAGAATTCTTAGTCTCTATACGAATAAATATCAGCTGTTTGTATTTCTTTATTTCAAACATAGTTTGTCGTATAATTTTGTACTTTTTTTTTTCTAGAGTTCAAGAACAAAGAAATCAGTAGATGAAGGATGGAAAAGTCCTACTCAATCATCTAAGACAAATGGTCGTCGTCAACGTAAGGGTCGTCGTGGTAAAACATCAATGAATGACCATTCATCATCAACTTCTGATGAAAATCCACTATATAATGATGATGATTTTTCCGATGATTATTTACCTGATAAATCAGAAGTAGATGAACTTCTTACTGGAAATTTATTAGAAGAAGACAATGATGAGGATTCCATTTCTAATCGTAAAGCAAAAACTGTTGCACAATGTCATGAACAATTTCAAAGACCATTAACATCATGTTCGATATGTTTACAAAACAATCATCCTGAATCTTTATTATTATGTGAAGATTGTGATGATGCATATCATTTAGAATGTCTTAAACCTGAATTATTATCAATACCTAATGACAGTTGGTATTGTCCATTATGTGAACATAAACGTTTATGTGATGGTTTAGTTGAAAAATTACTTATACTTATAAAAGATCAAGAAGATTTTGAAATGAAACGTCGATTATATGTATCAAAACGAAGAAAACGTTTAACAAATGTTGCTGTTAATCTTGATCGATATGTTAAACAACCAACAAATGAACATAAAACAAATGGTATTGTTTCAAGGGATGAAAAAGACGAAGAAGAAGAAGAAGAAGAACAAGAAATTAAAAAGAAAACGAATTCAACAAATAATAATAATCATAATAATGATAATAATAAGGAAGAAGAAGATGATGATGATGATAGTGTTTATGGACGTAAAAATGATGAAAATCGAAAACCATCCGATCAAGAACAAGAACAAGAACAAACAGGAAAACGTCGTGTAAGATCATGTCGACGAAAAGCACAAAATTATTCTTTTGATGATTATGATAAAAAAATGAAAGAAGCTATGATTGATGCTGGAATTAATAAAGACTTAATTGATAATGATTCAGGTATTTTATTTGATCATAATATATAAGAGTTTTTCATGTACTAAGAAAATCTTTACAAATGGCTTTACATTGTCAATATCATTCTTTGTTAATAGACAGACAATACATACCACTTGTCTCGATGGCTAATATGTTTTAATCCGATCCGTCTCATGAGTTGAACATTTTGTTTCTTCGAGCAACGGATTAATATAAATTTTATTAGTAAAATATTCGACGCTTGGTTCGTAAAGAATGGGACTCTTTTCGTTTCTTCAGTACTACAAACATAGTTCAGAGACTTCGTTCTTAGTTCACTCGTTAGAGAATTATAAGAAGTGAAGGCATGCAAATTGTTATACTACAATTACAGGGCAAGGATTAGGTGACCGCTAGATTTCGAAACAAATTGCTTTTAAGACTGGAAAATCAACAATCTACGTATGGATCAAACTTTTCAAAGAATCAGACGTAATATACTTGGAAATAAGTATAGGTCAAAACCGAACGAAAATATTGATTAATCGACTATATCACCATTTTCTTTACACTAAAGAAGAAAAATCGACAAAAAAATTGATCGCATTGCATGATGTCTCAAAATTAGACGTGCATAAAATAATTAAAAATAAGACTTTCGTTTGGCATATCGGCTATAAAAATGCTCATATAGCGGACACAACTTCGCCTAGTATTATAATGATGATAATTTGGCAAAAAATAACTAGATTATATATTGTTGCTTCCCAATTTTGTAAGCAGATTGAACTCGTGAAAACATCTACCATTGATCTGTCAAAGGATCAATCCATCAATACTTCTGATACATACAAACTATTTGGATAGAGTTTACCAAAAAGATTCATCATTTTCTAATGTTGTTTTTTTTAAATTCACAAAATTTATTAATATAGATGATTCGGATGAAATCATTATAAAAAGAAAACAACCAGGAAAACGTCGCCGTTATGAATTTGATGATGATTTTGATGCGTCAAATAGCAAACATAATGATGAATATCTACCTAGTCGACGTCGGTATGTATTAATAGGAGATTTTATTTCTTCTAAAAAGAAAATCTTTTTTTTTTTGTTTTGGTTTCAATTCAGAACTATAAATTCTGATAGCCGAAGCGAAGCAAGAGATAATGATAGTCTTCTATCTTATCGACGTCCGTACGTATTAAGAGAAATTTTCTTTTCTTCTAAAATAAAATCTTTTGATTTCAATTTAGAACTATGAACGATGATAGCCGAAGTGCAAGAGATTATGATGATTTTCTATCAAATCGACATCCTCCGTATGTGTTCATAGAATAATTGATTTTCAAAATATAATATTTTGCTTTTAATTTAGAACTATAAACGAGGATAGTCGAAATGCAAGAGATTATGATGATATTCGACCTAATCGACAACCGTATGCATTTATAGAAAATTTAGTTTTTTCTAAAATAGAATATTTTTCTTTCAATTTAGAACTTTCAATGATGATAGTCGAAGTGATGCAAGAGATTATGATGATAATGATGATTTCGGTATGAGTGACGATGATAGAGCTTGGAAAAGTCAACCACAATCATCAACATCATCAAAACCAAAAAAGAAATCCAATGCAAAGTATAAAAATCTCATTTTAATTTTATTAATTTATGATATCTTTTTTTAGAAAACCCAATCGTAATAATCAACGTAAATCAACAATTCGATCAGAAGAAGATAGCATTCGTATGTATAATTGCGTAATAAATTCTAAGAAAACATGTCTGAAAGTACATAATCTAGAAAATTTCTGAAGTTTACTTCATTTTGCGCAGTTTTTATTGATTTCTACATATAATTAAAACGAATTTTCTATGTTTATAGCAATTCTTACGATAAGCAGCATTTGAAATGAAGTATTCACTAATAGAAAATGTTTCTCGAACGGTTACGAAGCGAATGACATCAGACGTATGAGAATAGTTTATATAATATAAAGTAGGTTATTTAAACATACTAATGTAAACTGTGTTAAAAGAATAAATATGAAGCATATATTATTTTGCATAAGAAAAATAATGGTCATTATCTCTTGAATAAGTTTGAAAAGATCAGTATACTTCGTCTATCCCTAAGACAATCTATGACATTGGACAGAGTTCAATTTCTATCATATTAACAAATCAAACATAGAAATGAACAAGATCAAAACAGTAAATTTTTGTATTAGAATCTGAACAAGAGAGATTTCTAAATGTCTATTTTGTAACGTGTTTGATCTATGACAAACATCGAAATATTCATATTGTTTTTCTTTATTAAGTTTCTGAAGCTAATCTAAACAATTTACCATCAGGAATTAAAATAAAAACTGAACCAACAACTGAATTTGATCAAAATATAATTGGTACAAATGAAACTGCTAAAAATACATTTGATAAACGTCCAGTTGTTAATAATTCGTTTGATCAAACTCCAACTACTAATAAGTCAGTTAATAAAACACCAGTTGTTGAAAATGCAACTGATAAAAATGAAGCTTCTAAGGCTCCTAAACGACGACAACGGCGGACAGTAACTACAAAAAAGAAACCTTCGATTCAACCAGAAAAGTTTAGTGATGAAGAAGAAAATGGTCATCCTCCAGTGCCAGCACGTAGACCTTATCGAAGACGGCGTATTAGTCATGAATCATCTATTGATGAGGATGATGATTATGAAAAATTAGCACATAAACGTCGATTATTTTCTCAAGGAAAAGGTATAACACGAACAAGCATAACAGATCATATTAAAAAATTAGTTGGAGATGAAGATGATGATGAAGAACAAGAAGAAAATGAAGAAGATGAAACAAAAGTTAAAAATTCAAGTGTGTAAAACTAACAAGGAAACGCTTTTTTTTAAATATAATTTCATTGTTTTTTTTCTTTTTTTTTTTTGCAATTTCCAAATTAGATGGAACAAAAAAGAATGGTAATTCAAAACAAAAAAATAAAAATTCACAATATGAAGAATATCAATTATCGGATGATGATGATTTTCCAGATGAACAAGAAATATTAAAAACAACTGGTTTAAATTTAAAAAAACCTTCAAATATACCAGTAAGATTGTAAATTTTATTTGATTTTTTGTTTTGTTTGTTGAAGACAAAATCTATTTTCTTATGTTTATTTAGAAAGCTGCTCCTTATCGAGCACCATGTACGCCTTCAATGCTTTCATATCAATTTATAATGGCTGATCCAACAGCAAATTTTGATTTAACTTGTTTACCTGAAACACCAATGACAGAACCGAGTGACACAAATCAAGCTAATGGCAATCATGGTCTATCAACATCGACTTAATAAGCATAGATCTTTTAGTTGCTGTCAATGTACATTCCATTTTTTCTTTTATAATAATTATAGTAGTTTGTTGTTTTTTTTTCTGCAATGTGATGCAAAACAATATTAGCAAGTAGTTCTTTTGTTAACGACTATTTGTAGTTGCGTGATAGTTACTTAGAGGTGCCAAACAAAAACTTCCATTTTCTAGTGATAGTAGATAATTCTTTTTTTCTTTCATGTTTGATAAAATTTTCTAGTTGATAATAAATTAATAATTGCAATGCATGGTTACAAAAGTTTTTTCTTTTCATTTGTTAATAAGAAATAAGATGCTTCACCTTGAAGTATGATATTCATAAAGAAAGCCATATGAAATTCTTCACGAAAAATACGATAATTTCTAGAGAAATCAAGGATTGATCATCAGATCTATGATATGTAAGATTTAGAGTAGTTTGTTTTTTATGGTAGCTTTTCAATGAAACATTTAGACGTCTTTAATATTTCACGAATGTATGTAAAACTTATTTCAAACGATCATGTGCGTTGTCAGTCTCTTTCTCATATTGTTTCTTTATTTATTATGGTAAGTATTTCAAGTTTTTATTCTGACTTCAAGACCTCGAAAAACTCTCACATTAATTAATTACTATTAATCACAATGATAAATAATATTACGTGAATTTTCGTTCATTGTGCGTTCTGTTTTAATATCTCCATAAGGTGAACACCAAATGACATTGCCCATTCTACCGACTGATAATGAAAGATAACTATTGGATTTGATTTTAACTAAACCAGAATTATCCGTGAATAGTGTTGCATGATTGGTTGAAAGGGAACGAGAGTCAAAAGTTCCTTGACCTAGCTGAATAACATGGAGTTGTTCAGTTGAACCCGAAAGTGTTACATTACTACTTTTTAACAGTCGAACTTCAACATCTTCAAATGTGATATTATTTAACATCATTTGAGATGTATCACTTGCTTCAATTTTTAATTGATTACCTCTCAAATAGTTCGCTGTTCTAAGTCTAGAGACAGCTCCGATCTGAATAGTTTGAAGTTCGTATACATAAATAGTAACATCACAGTCTCCTGGTGAATCGATGGTCAGAGTCATGTTGGTTAAATTGATCGACACATCATGAAACATATTTGAGCTGCAGTAAAATTCAACTGGAGAAGGCGTAGGTTCCACAGTACCTTGCAACACAACATTTTTTGCCCGAGATATATCAACGGTTGTGAACGAGTTGATAAATAAATGATGAAAAGACCCCATCAAATTTGGATGTTGTGACGAGGTCGACGTCCAATAAAAGTCTTCAGTAGTAGCGGCAGGTGTTGATGTATTGTTTGGGTAACTAGTATAATTATAGTACCAGTGAGTTGATGGTTGTGTAGGATATCTAGGGGTACTTGAATGTAATGGGTACCAAGCTGTTGATGAAGTAGTTTGATAGTCGGTATACCATGGATACCATTGAGTTGATGATCGTGTAGGGTATCTAGGGGTACTGGAATGCTGCTGGTACCAAGCTGTT